CAATTTGTTTCAGTTCAGATTCAAAAGGTCACACCCTTGACACACAATGGAAGTTAGAAATGCCCTTTACTTCTTTTACATGTCAGCATCATATAATCTGTATTTTTTCTACACTTTCCATTCCAACACTCAGAGGGCAGTTATTTCAGGACTTAATAAAAAAGTGACTTTGGAAACAAGATTTTTATATCAGATTTCAGTAAATACATTTTCCATATCTGTCAATCACTCAGGTTTCCTGCAACAGGCAAGATAACAGTGTGCTATAATTATATGGCTATAAATATTTATATATCCCACTCCAAAACATTTAAATAGGTAAGCTATATCACCTCAACTCTACAAAGCAACAAATTAGATGAGAAAAGATTCTTTATGCAGTATTTTAAAATTCTCATACAAAATGGGGTTTGTTTCTTCACATTTCAGCTGATTGTAAATATTAATGCAGCACATCAATTATAGATATTTATTTATTTTGCAAATTACATGTGTAAATCAATTTAATGAATTTGAACCATTTGAATTTTAAAGTTTTTATGTGTTCCTTACATCATTTTAGTTTCTTGGGGAAAAAACTCATTACAAGACTACAACATGGTCTCATTTCATCTAGAGTTGCTCATCCATAATTCTGCAGTTTTAAAATACATGCTGGGATGTTTTCTCAACATCTTTATTTAAGCTACTTTGTATATGTATATTCAACTTCATGTTGCCAACACATCTGGAAATATATTGTTTTAAACATTTCAAAGCACAAGAATTCTACCATAATGTACTTTGTATGTTAATTATTAGAATCCTGCTAACACATATTTATATGCTGATATGATGTAAAGTTTAAATACTTTCAATGTGCAATGATTTTTTCCTGAAACTTTTATGTCAAAAGTGTTCTGACTTGTGTGTTTTCTTACAATGAAATATTCACCTGCCCAGCGATACTAACGAGAGTTGCAAAAAGTCAGGCAAAACTGCAATAATTTTATGCATCCAAATTGGGTATTTGCACATATAAATGACAAGCTGTGCAACTAAGTGGTTGCTGCTCATGAAAAACCCGACTTTCAGACACATTCACAGAAACTACATACGTAAATTAGGCACATAATTACACTAATTTTTGTAAGCATTGCCGTGAAAACCAATCGCTAAAACCTCCTAATAAAACAGCCTGCAGTGTCACAACCCATAAATGAAACATTTAAAAATAACGAACATTAAAATATCAACTCAATTGCATAAACACAGCAGTCAGTAGAAGAGAAAGAAAAGGCTCTCTGCACTAACAGATATTCCAGTATTTGAAGACTAATAAAATACTCTCATATTGTGTGTGTGAAATTCTGGCCCCATGATAATCAATAGAAGTTTATCAATGACTTCCATGGGCCAGGATTTCATTCTTAATCTCTCAGTTCAGAGGTACTAAAGAAAGGTAGCACACAGAAGGAAAACCTGGAAAAGTGTAGGAAAGAAGGAACAAAATGCTAACTTGTTGATGTGGTCTTTCTGTTCAATGTTGTTGCTGGGTTTTTTGTTGCTTTTGGTGTTTTGAGAAGTGTGGAGTTGGTAGAGTAGACAGGGGTAGTCTCGGTGGAAAATCTGGGCCTTTTATCTTTTGGAATATTACATCATTTTAAGCATAATTCGATCTATTTTCTTAATTTTCATAATTTAATCTGATATTAATTTCACTGATTTTATTTTCTCCTGAGCCAGTCATTCTGGGCAAATTGTAGTATAGCTATTGAAGGAATTAATTCCAAGGGCTCCAGGATGGAGGAAGCCAGCTCAGTTCTCACCACTGTAGGGGGCTTTAATTTTAAGAGGATTCTTATTTGGGCATGTCTGAGGATTGTGATTTCAGGGTTCTGAAATCACTGTCACTATATAGAATGAGTCTGTCCAGTTTGTTTGGGTTAACGGACTCTCTCAGAATACAGAAAGGAATCAGATTATGAAATTTCCCCTCCCCCCAGTGGAGATAAGATTTAAAAGAATGCTAGTTTTTTCATTATTCTCAAATGCTTTTTGTCTTCCTCTTCCCTTGAGGAGGAAACCAAGGAAGACGGAGATATGCTAGAATAGTCCTAATAGTATCCTCAGGCTGTGTCTAGGGTCACATACAGCACCCATCATTGTGGTGTCTAAGCACTCCCTCAAAATGGTTTCTTAAGTGAAACAAGATGAAGAGATGGTCTAAGAAAGAGGCTTTGACATACTCCTCCTTGCCATATCAGTTCCCCCTATTGCTGATGAAAAGAGCTTTACAATGAAAGAAAACACTGCCTGTATGTCTCTGGTTTAATAGATGTTTCTTGAAAAGTAGAGGAAGTGGGAGAAGCAAAGTTGAAAGAAGAAGTGAAATGGAGGAACCAAAAGTTAGGAAACTATGTAAATGGGAAAGGCAGCAGCACTGATGTGTTCGATTAGCTGTCTGAGAATCTGCTGTGGGGGAGGAGATCACACCTGTGCCACAGATGAACACCACTATGCATGATGCCAATAGATGGAAGCCATCTCCATGCCTTGCTAGGCCTATGTTTTTCTGTCCCCTCAGCCATCATGCTCCAAGAGCATTGCTGGTTTCCTGCGAGACAAAGATGTCTGGCTGCTTCTGTTTAAAAACAAGGCCAGTACTGCTGAAGGCTCATGACTAGACTACAGCTGGAAGTGTCACTTCCACCATTGCTAGTAGTTCAAAGAAAGTCTTCAGTTTGGGTTGCTCTCTGCAGGAAAACCCATGGAAAGAGACTGAAAAAAGCAGAGATACAGGAGAGAGTTTCTCTAGGGAACTGTCTCCGTTACAAAACTACACTAGATTTCGCCTCCTTCCTGGGGCTATAAATCCTAAAGTGAAGTAAAGGGAAAGCTTCCCTTCTAGGAGCCAGTGCCAGAGAGCTGCCTCTGCAACAAACAGAAGAATAATACTGGGACTACAATGGGAAAAGGATTTAAAAGGTTGTATTAAGAAGAGTTGCCTTTGTGGATGTAGTCTAATCTTACTAGACTCTCTGGGCGGTTGGGTACAATGCATGAGAAAGTATCTATATCTCAACATCATGAGTCTAATGATTTTCAAATTACAAGAACAAAGTGAACATCCTGAAGTAATTAAAGCATGCCCATAAAACAAGTTGTACTCTCACAGATTAAAGAAATGAAATGGGACACTTGTTATATTTGCATTTTACAGCACTTGTAGAAATAATTTATAGTGTCTTCCTCCAATCCTTAGCACATGTGCGAGAATATTTCTTCAGAGATTTGACAAAAATGTAGACTTATGTAAAATGACAAACACAATTAGTTCAGACTTTATTGTTGCATATATATGTCACTATTATTAGCACTGAATGGAACTTTTTTTTGTTCTTTCTTGTAGGTACATAATATGATAAATGATGTAAGAATATCTACAGTACACAATGAGGTCCTTCATTCAAGCAACTGAGAGCTGCGTGAAATGGAGAGTCAGGCAACAGCTCAGGGACAGATTTATTACCCCTCTGTTTGATCTTTTGTCTCTCTAGTCTTGACTTTCATCTGCTTGTCAAGGAAATATGCTAAACACTGAACTTCTTTTTCTCTAAAATTCTCTCCTCTTCCCTACATTAGCACTTCTATTCTATTTCCCACAATCTGTGCTTTTAAATTCTTTTCACACAATACCAAGCTCTCAGGAAATCCATCTCTCTGTGTCCATTGTTAAAAGCCTGATTCATGCCTTGGCTCTCTTTCACCTCATCACTAAATTCTTCGTCTCTGGCTCCATTCTTGCCACTTCATCTCTGTTCAGTCTATCCACAGTACTGCTGCTACCATGTTCTTCTCTTCCTGGTGCTCCAGTCATGTAACTGCCCCCTCAAACTGCCCACCTCAAAACTCTTAATAGGAAATGGCCTCTGCATCAAGTTCAAATAGCTCATCCTCTCCCTTCAAGGCTACCCACAGATCAACTCTAGTTTTCACTACTTCCCACTCATGTCATGCACTCTACTCAGTTTTCCCCTTAGTTTTCCCTCGGCTTCTTTCTATCACTTGTGTCTTCATGCCCCCACACCCCTTCATTCCCAGAATACCCTTCTACTTCAAGTGAGCCAGCCAATCTCACTCTCCTCTTCCAACCACATTTCTGTCACTAATCTCAGCTCCAGTGTTATCTGCTCCCTCTATTTTCCCTTATCCTTCTGTGCTCCCTCTCATTAAAAAATAGGGGACAGAAACAAACTAAATTATTTCAGTACTTTGCAAGCAACATTTTCTTAACAACAAAACCACCTATCTCTTGAAAAGCAATTTCCTTTCCTCCTTATTTCCCTTGTCTCTCTTCCTTCCATCCCACCCCCATTGTGTGTTATGATCTTTCATTATCTATCTAACTCATATGATAAGCATGTTGGATCACAGTGTCTCGATACTTGTTTGGAAAGTGCCATACATGTCTACACTGCAGTATACAAATTAGCAATGAGATAACATCGCATGGGCCTCTAGGCAGGCACTTAAGGTCTAAAAGTGGCTTTAAAAACTGCAGGTTGTCTGAATGTGGAAGCAAGAGCAATCTCTCTGGTGGAGCAATACAACTCCCTAAAGAGTGGAAACAGGTGCAGGATGAAGTAAGAAAATAATGCAGATTCACTAGCCGGTCTAGTCTATGTTACTTAGATTTTTGCACAGAGTTGATCTGGGAGCCACAACTTCCATATGAGAAACAGCAGTAGATTATAGCTGTAATAGAAACTAAAGGACAGCTGCAGTCACACCCCATCCATTAGGGTCTGAGAATCTTCTTTCTAAGCCCTTGTACTCATGTTTTTCCATTTCTCAGATTTTGTCCCAATCATAATGAGACATAAAACATCAAGCCAAATGCTTAACAATTCAACATTTGCTAGAAATTTAAGAAACAATGAGTGAAGAAGCTCATGTAGTAAAATTAAAGCTTGAGCAATAGAAATGCAGTCTCAATATTTCTGGTTTAAAGTTCTTACCAGATATCGTAGGTTTACGTTTTCTATCTTCCCATAGCAAAGGTCTATGAGGATCATAGGTTGTTTTTCTAGGTTTCTTCTTGATATCATCCACGATAATGCAAGATTATCCATACCAGTTGCCTAAGAAAAGGACAGAAAATGAAAAAAATAATCTATGTCATTGTTTATTTTAACCAATTAAAATCATGCGTAGGTAGCTAAAAGCTAATTATGTCTGTAATCCCAAAATTAAGGAATGGAGTGATGGTTTGGATAAAATTATGATATACTGTACCACCAGAAAAGCCATACTTCTTGCTTAATTAGTTATTCAACACACAGAACAAAAAAGCAAAAGCAGCTGACAACAACAAAAAAACCTCACTTTAATGGTGAACTTGAATGCTCAAGTCTGTGTCATTTATTTTGAGGGAACATTTCAGAAGATGGAAAATCAGTGAAAAGTATTAGTAACCATGGCATCCCAAATAAATCTGTGCTAAAAATATGAAGAATCAACCAAAACTCAGAGTTGGTCTGGGCTTTTTTCACTATCAGGAATATCAGCCAGGACTATGAAACTTTAATAGACCTTACTCTGGGTTAATTAATAAACAAAATGATTTTATTAAGTATAAAAAGTAGGATTTAAGTGGTTTCAAGTAATAACAGACAGAACAAAGTAAGTTACCAATCAAAATAAAACAAAACACGCAAGTCTAAGCCTAATACATTCAATAACTGAATACAGGTATGTCATAAATATAAAGGGAAGGGTAAACCCCTTTGAAATCCCTCCTGGCCAGGGGAAAGCTCCTCTCACCTGTAAAGGGTTAAGAAGCTAAAGGTAACCTCGCTGGCACCTGACCAAAATGACCAATGAGGAGACAAGATACTTTCAAAAGCTGGGAGGAGGGAGAGAAACAAAGGGTCTGTGTGTCTGTCTATATGTTGGTTTCTGCTGGGGATAGACCAGGAATGGAGTCTTAGAACTTTTAGTAAGTAAACTAGCTAGGTATGTGTTAGATTATGATTTCTTTAAATGGCCGAGAAAAGAATTGTGCTGAATAGAATAACTATTTCTGTCTGTGTATCTTTTTTGTAACTTAAGGTTTTGCCTCGAGGGGTTCTCTATGTTTTTGAATCTAATTACCCTATAAGATATCTACCATCCTGATTTTACAGGGGGAATTTCTTTATTTCTATTTACTTCTATTTTTTTATTAAAAGTCTTCTTGTAAGAAAACTGAATGCTTTTTCATTGTTCTCAGATCCAAGGGTTTGGGTCTGTGGTCACCTATGCAAATTGGTGAGGCTTTTTATCCAACATTTCCCAGGAAAGGGGGGGGTGCAAGTTTTGGGAGGATTGTTCATTGTTTTTAAGATCCAAGGGTCTGGGTCTGTAGTCACCTAGGCAAATTGGTGAGGCTTTTTACCAAACCTTGTCCAGGAAGTGGGGTGCAAGGTTTTGGGAAGTATTTTGGGGGGAAAGACGCGTCCAAACAGCTCTTCCCCAGTAACCAGTATTAGTTTGGTGGTGGTAGCAGCCAATCCAAGGACAACAGGTGGAATATTTTGTACCTTGGGGAAGTTTTGACCTAAGCTGGTAAAGATAAGCTTAGGAGGTTTTTCATGCAGGTCCCCACATCTGTACCCTAGAGTTCAGAGTGGGGGAGGAACCTTGACAAGGTAAATCTCACCCTCAGACATGTTCCAATAAGCTTCTTTCACAAATTAGACTCCTTCTTAGTCTGGGCCCAATCCTTTCCCCGGTACAGTTCTTGTTAGTTCCAGCTAAGGTGGCAACTAGGGGATTTCCCATGACTGGCAGCCTCCTTTGTTCTGCTCCACCCCCTTTTATAGCTTTGGCCCAAGGTGGGAATCCTTTGTCTCTCTCTGGGTTCCCACCCTTCCTTCTAAATGGAAAAGCACCAGGTTTAAGATGGATTCCAGTACCAGGTGACATGGTCACATGTTCTGTGAGACCCCATGCCTCCATTCTTTCCGCCCTGACTCACAGGAACACAGGAAGGCTTACAAATAAACAGAGCCATTTACAACCAATTGGCCTGGTCAATGGGAGCCATCAAGATTCTAAACCACCATTGATGGCCCACACATTGCATAATTACAATAGGACTTTAGAGTAATACTTCACAATAGCTTCGGATACAAGAATGATACATTTATACAAATAGGAGGAACACACTCAGTAGATTGCAGGCTTTGTAATGATACCTTCCAAGAGACCTTTTGAATAAAGCATATTCCAGTTAAATTATATTCACACTCATTAGCATATTTCCATAAAACATATGGAGTGCAACGTCACACTGGCAACACAAGCAGAGGAGGCAGCTGCTTGTAGAGAATAAGGAACCGTCTACAAAATGACACGGCTTATCAGCGGTAAACAGAAGATACCAACAAAAACTCTTATCAGAGACAAATAAGGCCACCTACTAACAACAAAAAAAAGAACAAGAAATGCACTGGACAGAGCATTTCAAAGAACTGCTGAACAGGGAACCACCTAAAGAGGAAGCAAACATCCGGGAGGCAGAAGGTGGTCTTGATATCGACACAGACACCCCAACTAAGGAAGAGATCATTCAAGCCATCAAATCCTTAAAAAATGGCAAAGCTCCTGGCAAGGATAACTTGAACGCAGAATTGTTCAAGATAAATTCTGAGTTAGCAGCATCTATCCCGGCCCATCTCTTTACATCAGTTTGGGAAAGGGAAAAATTGCCAGATGAGTGGACTAATGGGGTTATAGTGATGATACCAAAGAAAGAAACTCTCAGTGACTGTAATAACTGGCAGGGTATCAGACTTTTATCTGTGCCAAGCAAAGTATTGTGTAAGATTATAGTCCAGCATATACCAGAGGCAGTTGATAGTGTTCTCAGAAAAGAGCAAGCTGATTTTTGGAAAGGGCATGGATGCACAGACCAGATCTTCACTCCTCAAAACATAATAGAACAATGCTTAGAATGCAACTCTACATAAACTTCATAGACTTTGAGAAGGCTTTTGATAGCGTTCACAGGACCAGCCTATGGTGCATTCTGCAGGCATATGGAATCCCTCTCCATATAATCAACACCATCAAAAGCGTCTATTTCAATTTTACATGCAGTGTTGATCACAGTGAGCTCAGTTTTGAAGTCAGAACAGGAGTACATCAGGGGTGTGGCATGTCTGCAATCCTCTTCAACATTGCCATTGACTGGGTAATGCAGCGTGCAACAGAAGATATGCCAAGAGGCATTAAATGGACACTCTTCTCATCCCTTGAAGACCTGGACTTCACAGATGATCTCGCTCTCCAATCACATACCCAACACCATATACATTAAAAACAACTCGACTCGATGAATTCAACCAGCAAATTGGACTGAAAATCAAGTGCAATAAGACTGATATCATTACCTTTAATATTACCTCACCATCACCAGTACGGATAGAGGATTATGTTCTGACCAATGTAGAAACATTCACATATTTAGGTAGCACCATCAGCCAGGACGGTGGAACAAGCCAGGACATCTGGAACAAAATCAGTAAAGCCAAGAACACCTTCAGGAGCTTAAATACTGTCTGGAAATCATCAAAATATAACACCAAAACCAAACTCAAAATTTATCAGAGCTGTAGACTTTCAACATTACTTTATAGTGCAGAATGCTGGGAAATGAGAAAGTGTGACATGTTCAAACTGTCTTCTTTCCATACAACCTGCCTTAGAAAAATCCTCCGTATCTTTTGGCCCAGAACAATCTCAAACCAAGATCTATTCACGCAGTGTAGCCAAGAAGAATGAGCACTATCATTGCCAGGAGGCGTTGGAGATGGATTGGCCATGTTCTTCAGATGGAAACTGATTCCATCACCAGAGTAGCAATAAGATGGACATCTAAAGGCAAGCAAAAACGAGGCTGTCCAAAAATAACACGGTGAAGAGCGGTGGAAGCCAAGCTGAAAAACCTGGGGCACAGCTGGGGAACCATTGAAAGACTTGCCAGAAACAGACAGGAGTGGAGGAGCTTCGTCACTGCCCTAAACACTAGAGGCGTAATGGAAACATGATCATGATGATAATCGAGTTCAGACTCACTCAATAAACTGGGTCCCAGTCAGAAAGGGATCTCATGGAGAGTTTCATTAAGTGTCTGTGGAGTCTTAACACCCAAAACTGCCTAGTACAAGGGGGGAATGAGTGGCAGATAACACACTTTGAGGGAATGTGTAATTCCCTGAGGCAGTACAGGCAACTCTCATGCAGATCACTCACAGAGAAGACCCCAGGAAAGGCCAGCCTTAACTAAGCTAAATACCTAAGATAAAAACTATTTACAAGTTATTTACAGTTGAAATTCAAGCAGAACACTAGAAGGTCAGTGACACAGAAAGGTTCCATCCCAAACCACAAGTGGCAGAAAGGAACTGGAGAGACAGTCTGCACTGTCCCTTATGGCATTGCTTTAGAGCATGACAAGGTGAAGGATGCAGGCATGGACCAATGGACACTGCTGCTGAACAGATTCCAGCCTTGGGCTCATGGAGTCTATTTCTATTTAAATGAAAATAAAAAAAGAATAAAGCCAGAAAGAATTCTAGAAAAAAATTCAATGCAAACTGTTGGAACTGGAGCAATATTTCTGCTGACAGACTTTTGAGCTGTACCTGCCTTGTGGATGCAGTCTGTTCAAAAAAGCAAATCTGGAATAAGTCCAAGGCAATACATTGCAATGACTCAAAATTTAGGTTTTCATTAAAGCTGCTGTAGAGTACTGCAGTTTTCATAAAATTATGTTGTTTTCTCTTTTGAAAAATGTACATGGACTATAATTATTATAAATGAAAATAAAAATGTCCACACCAAAATATTCATAATTGAACCCAAAAAACATTTTATGAAAAACAATTGACAGAGGAGATTTTTACAGCAAAGGTGATGACCCATGATTTTGTCACAATTACAAGCATTATGCACATTATTATTATGCCAAGTTCTCAAAGCACATAGACTTATTAAGGATGATGGGATTACTACAATTCTAACACTCTAATACTTGCACCTGACCCCCCTCATTAACCTACTGCCTGCATTTAAAAAAAAAACTGATATATGAGCA